ATATATATATATATATATATATATATATATATGCATATATATATATATATAAAGAAAGCTATTCAACCATTTTCACTATCATGGTAACAAGTTTGTTGATTTATGGCAACTTGGTTTTTGTTTGCTTGTCTTTCCAACTCCTCATAACTCTTGTATTTCTTCAGAACTCTTACATAATTCCATATTTTCTTTCATTTCCATGTGCATTCTGAGGGTAACTCCCCTCATTAAACTACTCATCTTATTGCGTGACTATAATACACTTTAGCAACTTCTTTTATGCATTGACTAACATTAATAACTATGTTTGTGACAATTCATCACTCTTGTTACTACCCTTGTACCAACAGAAGACAAGGGCCAGGCAACAGATCCTTTATTCTGTCTGTCTGTCTGTTTTCGACATAGAACTTTGCACAAATGTGCGGAAGTTCAAGTCGCCACATTCCGTGTAGCACGCGAAGCAAGAGAAGAAAGTACAAGAAAAGCATAATAGAAACAGTGAGCAGAGGTGTGAGACAAAGGAGTAATAAAGAAATACAAAACAGTTTCATTGAAGATCATAAGTCACAGGGAGTGGATGCATCTGCGCCACTGAGAACGATTTTGAGCCATGTCACCAATTGTTTCCAACCATAGATTTTTACCGTCCCGAGGACCCCAGCCTGGAAGTCTACACCTTCCTACGTGGCTTAGACCAACTGTTGTGGATTTCATTGACTGATGCCAAGTTTTTGTTTGACCGCCGCTAGCTTTTTTCCAGCCTGACCCTATATCCGCTAACATTGCTCGTCGAGGGAGGCGATGGCTTGGCATACGTAACACATGTCCTAACCATCTCAGTCTTTGTAGCTTCACGACTTCGTCGATTGATTTCCCCTGTTTACCTAGAACTCTACGCCTAACCTCCATGTTGCTCACCTTATTATGCCACTTTACACGGGAAATAGAACGCAGGCACCTATGATCAAAGACAGCTAGTCTTTTCATGTCTTCCACTCTCAGTGGCCAGGTCTCACAACCATAAAGGAGGACGGAGCGGACTGATGAGCAGTACACCCGCCCTTTGGTCGATAGTCGAACATCTCGTCTACGCCAGAGTCGGCGTAAACTAACAAATGCGAAACGAGCCCCTTGTATTCGTGCTGAGATTTCGTCAGAGATCAGCCCGTTGGGGCTGATGGTACTTCCCAAATAAGTGAAGCGGTCAACGTGCTCTACCACTTCACTTCCTATTTTTAAACTAGGCGTCGATGTAGTCCAGTCCTGTAACATCATCTTGCATTTGGCGGGAGCGAATCGCATGCCAAACATTCGTAGATTGCGGCTCAAGGTGTTTAGAAGACTCTGCATTTCGTCAGCGTCTTCGCCTAGAAGGACTATATCGTCTGCATATTCCAAGTCAACGAGATTATTCCCGGTAGCAAGTCAATCCCTGAGTCGCTGAAGTCACCTAGGGTTAAGTCCATTAACACATCTATGATGAAGTTGAATAGAAAAGGAGATAATGGGCATCCTTGACGGACACCACTGGTCGTCATCAGTTCAGATGACAGCTCGCCGTAAGCCCTCACCTGGCTGTATGAGTACGAGTAGAGTGCCTTAATCAGTGCAATATATTTTCTTGGAATTCCCTTTACAGCCAAGCATCTCCAGAGAACTTCCCGATCGACAGAGTCGAATGCTGCCTTTAGGTCAAGAAATATAATGACTGTTGGACGCCGGTAGGAATGCCTATGTTCTAGAATCTGTCGGAGGGTGAAGATATGATCAATACACCCTCTTCCTGGTCTAAAGCCTGCCTGGCTCTCTCGTGTTTGTGCTTCCCGAGCACCACTCAGTCTACGCATGATTATTGAGCCTAAGACTTTAGATACTATATTAGTCAAGCTAATCCCTCTGTGATTATCACAGGAAGACTTGTCTCCCTTCTTGTATATGGGGATAATCAGTGACTTACACCAACCCGATGGGACTTCTTCTGATTCCCAGACGCTGCCTAGTACCTCAGTTAATCCGGACAGTAAGCTGTCTCCACCGTACTTAAATACCTCTGGAGTCATTCCATCAGGTCCCGCTGCTTTGCCTAGTTTCAGATTGGTGACAGCTTTAGTAACCTCAGTTAGTGACGGAGGACCTGTGTCTATATCCCATTCAGGGAGGTGTTGGATGCTCGGAAGGTTGAGCGTGGCTGTGGGCAAATTAAACTGCTCCTCATAATGCTCTTTCCAACGATCCAGTCGTCTATCCTGTGAGCTAATTATAGTGCCATTTTTTTCCGAGATTGTCTCACTAATGATTTGTCTTCTCCCACCCGTTTCCCTGATGAGTCCAAAGAGTTGCCTGGTGTTGCCTATCCTCAAAGCTTTCTCCATCTCTTTGGCTTTTGTCGCCCACCACTGTTCACGGTCCTTGCGGAGACTTTTCGTAAGTTTCCTCTTGTGCAGCTTTCGCTCCTCATTGAATTCGGAGCTCGCCGGAATAAGTCTTCTAGCATCTATCAGTTCGGATGAGGCGGTGGAGATCCAGTGGTTTTTACTCACCTTTGGGTTTACCTTATTCACAGCTTTTACAGCTGTATCTATGGCTGCCTGGATATTTTTCCAAGCTTCTTCAGGGTGAGCACAGCTGTCGAACACAGATATGTGTTTAGCTAGTTCTTCCTGAAATACGGATTTAGTTTCCTGATCGAGCTGGGGACGTGATGGTTTTACCGCCAGCTGTTTCCTACGTCCGTTCAGTCGTAAGCACACCCGAGCGCGGACCAGTGCATGGTCGGTATCTACGCACGTGTTCCAGAAGGAGCGACAATCTCCTACCGACCCACGCCAACGATAGCTTATTGCTATGTGGTCTATTTGTGTCCAGCGTTGGTTTGATGAAGGGGGTCTCCAAGTCAAACAGTGTCTCTCCTTGTGTTTGAAGTTAGTGCTTACAAGAAACAAATGATTATCAGAGCAGAACTGTAGGAGACGGTCACCGTTGTCGGTTCGCTGGCACGGAACTCCATAGGTGCCACCGACATCCTTCTCAGATTGACACAATTTCCCTACTTGAGCGTTAAAGTCACCAGCTAGAACGACTATGTCTGAGCGTTTAGCCTTTCCACCAAACTAGACAGCTTTTGGTAGAACTCATCCTTCGTTTCATCTGAACTGCAGTCAGTGGGGGCGTAGGCGGAGATTACGAAAAGGCATCGGCGAGTAGTGCAGTCCTTCCTCCTTCTTACTGATCCGTTCAGGCGGACAGCACACATTCGGCTATCTACCGGGATCCAGTCAAGCAATGTCTTTTCTGCCCTAGTACTCAAAGCTATCCCTACGCCAGCTAATCCTCGTGAACTAGCTGTGGCATCTCCTGACACCCTCAGGGTGAATTTTGCAGATTCAACCTGTTGGCCAGGTGGGGTTAGGTGAATAACCACACTTGGGTCTTGTATGCGTGTTTCTGAAACACAGCATACATCAATGGCTCGTGATGCCAGGGTCTTGGCTAGTGATGCTTGTTGTCCTATTTGGCAAAGTGTCCTAACATTAAGAGCTCCTATATGAAATTGGTGGCGCGGCTTTAAGAGGCTGTCGGTGGTGGTTTTTTGGCTTCCATCGTTTTTAGTGGACGCAGAGTGGAGAGGAAGTGGAGAGCTATCAAGTCGAGGAGTTGCATCAGTGGAAGGAAGGCAAGATGATAGAGATGAAGATGAAGACAAAGATGAGTGAGTAATAGAGAGGTTTCGTGTGCATTTCGGATTGTGAGGGCGATTGTTACTTCCCGGCTGCCCACACCGTGGAAGTTGGTTGCGTGACCGCAGAGCCCAGGGGACAACTGCTTGAGGCCGGTCACACGCGGCCTGTTTTTGTTTGTTCTTTTTGTTTGGTGTGTCTCAGTAGCAGATTTATCACTCCCGCCCTGTGACACGGCAGCAGGAAGCGCGGTCGTTGTTAATCCGGGCCACGGCCGATCCGGCATGAAATTTTGTAATTTTGTATTGGACATGATGTTGGATTGGGTAGCTGCTTTTTGTTTAACCGCTATCCAAACAACCTGCCTGGCATGGTAGAACCTCAAGAGACATAAGTCTCAGCCAGTATAGCTTGATTAGGTCATTGCGGTGTTCAAGCCCGACCACCACGTCAAGGTAGCAGCTCTCACCACACCCTCTTTCATGAAAAAGAGTTGTATATAAATGCGATTATACAGCTAAAGAAAAAAAAATGAATTCACCAAAAAGAGCCTCTTCACCGCCGAACCACGTGTTTTGTTTACATTAATGTCTGGATAGTAAACGTAATGCAGGAATCACCACATAAGAGACAGTGTTCGCAATGTAAAAAAAAGTACCTGGAACAGTGACTAGATCTCTAAAGTTTATTTTAACCCCTTTGTTGTGATGTGCTTCAGTTCAAACAGCGTTTGTAAATCGATAGAATCGTGAGAGAGGTTGTGATATGTAGTATTGTGTAATGAGGGATAGCTGGGAACAAGACAAAATTGTAAACAACAATTTACGCGAATGTTACATCCAGAATCAGAGTCATGAGAAAAAAACAATAGCAAAGCTTAACCTTGAGGAACTCAACAACCAATCACAGCAGCCTTAGCGTGTACATGTACGATTCGCAGATATATAGATAAATTCGTAAGCAGTACAGAATAACCTTTAGCAAGAAAACATCCAATCAGAAGACGTTGCTTCTCTGCTGACAATAATGTACATAAGAATCTATAAATCATCTGCTGATTTTCGCAATAAAAAAATCTGTTGCCTGGCTCTTGTCTTCTGTAGTTACACTGTTACACTACAATATAGAAAACCGCATATTAGAATCATACTTCTCAGAATAAATACATTAGATTTAAATCTCCGAAAGAAAACCAGTCTCCAACAAATCGGCACAACACGCACAACCTAAATGCATAGATTCCTTCTTTAAGTGCTTCAAAAAGTTACAAAATGACTTTAAAAAAAAAGTATCACCAAAACATCTTAATACCTAACTCACTGAATTTAACAGCATGATTTTTGGTTGGTAAATCTTTGTTCAAAGTACGCAGTGTATTGACAATGTACGGATCCATGTCAACATTACGCTTATAGGAAGACAAGATATCTTTATACGGATGATTATCCTAAAATTAAGTGGAAAAGTGGGCGGTATCTGAGTGACAGAATAATAAAACATGTAGTATAACATATAAAATAGTAATTAGAACCAATGTTCGTCGGTGGTATAGCGGTTAGCACGCTCGACGACCATGCGCATGGTCCAGGGTTCGATCCCCGGCCACCGACTCACTCCTTTACCTCGCACTCTTACGCCAGAAACAATGCTGGTAAAGAGGAAAGGTTGGGCATTAGGCTAGCCACCTCATCCTGTAAAACTAAACACTGCTACAGAAACTTCAAGCCACTAGCTTGAAGCCCTATGTTCCACTGGGAACGTGAAGGAAAAAAAACAAAAAACATAGAACCAATAGTTTTCTCGGCTAATTGAGCATGTCACGAGCCAGGAAATCAGGTTCAAACTCAGTGAGATGTGTGTTTATGCTTTAAATGTTGGGCATCCCAGCGGGCATTTCTGAACTAGATGTTACCATTTAACAGCAAGAATAGCAAGATATGGATGTATTGTAAATAGTCGGAGACCCGGAAACCAAGCAAGTCATTAACAGTTATTTTAGTACCGAGGGTGCATGGAACAGACTTCAGTCTTTCTCTAGAAATACTCTCTCATAGGACTACGCGTGTCTAGCCTCTGACAGGTAAATCTTATTCACAGCATTCATGCAGTGTAGGTGTTCCTCATAAAAATGAAATGGAAAATTAAAAAATCTGGAGCTTACAATCAGACTAATGGATATGCTGGTTTATCTACGGGAGTTGGAAAACCCTGACACCAAACTTATGGTGAACATGGGCTTCAGAATCCAAATGGATCGAATGGCATATGAATTTGTTATGGTCACTGTCAACAATGGGAATGCAGCTCTTAACATAGCACCACTCCCTTATGGATCAGACTTAAAGCCAAAAGGTAGGGAAGAGGGTTGGTCCCTTAAGATAGCCAACTGCTCCGGTCTGGACATTCAGGTAGTGTTCACGGCCTCGCACAAACTATGAGATTTTGTGCGGTGCATCTCTTGGAGCTCATAATATGCCAAGTTTGGGTGAAAATAATAATAATAATCCGACCGATAGCTGGTACCTTCTTGATGTGGTGGTCGGGCTTGCACATCGCAATGACCCAACAAGCTATACTGGCTAGAACTATTGTTCATGCAGGTCCTACTATGCCAAGGTTGTTGGGATAGCGACTAGACTAAAAGCAGTTACCGGTTTAGTGTAAGAATTTGTTTACACTATAATGGGGGTCTGTGGGCGAAGTCGTACTGCTGGGGAACAGGAATGTAACAGAAGTAAGGTGTTTCCCTCAGATGACCAGCATGTCAGTCAGCCACCTATGGTGTCTCTCCACTCCGGAGGGAGGGGATTAGAAAAGGTAGACCCCCGAAATTGTACATCCCGACTTACCCTACGGTGGTCCGTAACCGGCGGTAAGTTTACTAATACGGAACCAATCCCGGAAACTAGTTCACACAGGACGTGTGTGACCAGCTTCAAGTTGTCCCCTGGGCTCTGTGGTCACGCAACACTAACCCTCTTTCTGTTCCAGGTACCCGAAGAATTAATCAACTTCCACGGTGTGGGCAGCCGGGAAGTAACAACCGCCCACACACTTTCAAGAGCACATGAAGCCTCCCCGAGCATCATTCTCCTTTACCCACATCACCCTTTAAAATAACAATAAAATTAGTTTTCTTTAAAATACCTTAGTTTCCTACTTTTACAAAACTACAATGGTATGTCTTCCAGTGTTCCTGATATATATATATATATATATATACAAACCTCTGTTCAAAATAAAACGGACCGAAATTGACTGTTTTCCAACATCTCAACATTTCCCTACTTCTCCATTAGTAAGTACACACTTTAGTAAGATAGGCTACAGTTAGAAAATGTATCAAGGTATGAACTGAAAATGATTGTTCAGAGATTCCTTTTTCAGTGTCTATCTAAACGATATCACTTTCTGAGCAAAACTTACCTTTAAACAAGTAGACTGTCAATCATATCAACGGAAGGTGTAGGATATTGAAATAATAGAGAAGATTTGTAGCTCAGGTGGATGATTTGCAATTAATAGTGTTCTCTGAGCTGGTTGGTTTAGTTGCGGAGCTTTCGTCGTCCGTCCTTCTGGACAACATCCCCCTTCAGCGCAATATTTAGCATAAAGTGAAATGATTTAAATTTCTTCATGAGTGATAGAATTGCGTCTCCCGGTAACCATCTTTACATATGTATTGACCATTTTCTATTGACTCGGATGATTTAGAATATACCCATAAATTAATAAACAACATATTTGAAGACATCAAATTCAAAAGAGAAGAAGAATTAGATAACAAAATACCATTTTTAGATGTCTTAATCAGGAGAATCAACACAGGAAATTTAGAAACACAAGTATATAAAAAATCAACGCACACAGATCAAATACTCAACTATACTAGCAATAATCCAATTACTCACTCACAAAAGAAGCTGTGTGCAGACATTGTTTAAAAGAATTCAAACACACTGTAGCACTCCAGAGTTGAAAATAATGGAAGAAAAATACCTACAAAACGGTCTTCAAAAAGAATTGTTATCCACAAAATTTCATCAAAAAGTGTTTCAAACCGAATCACAAAACCAACAAGGAATCATCATCAAAGACCACAAGGAAATTCATTCAACCATACATGAGAAATATCTCTGAAATAACAGCTAGAATACTGAAACCGTTTGATATAGATATAGCACACAAGCCAGCCAGCACGGCGACTTCATTCGATATTATGCAAACCGAAAGATCCAACAGAAAAAGGAGATAAAATTAATACCATTTACAAAATAAAGTGTATGAACCGTAACAGGCATTAACATCGGCCAAAGTGGGAGTCCCTTCCGAATAAGAATCCAAGAACACAAATTTGCTGTCGAAAGACCTGATATATATTCTTTCATATAGACAATTATGGACATCAGTTTGTGATTGGGATAATGTCGAAATCTTGGATAGAAGAAACACCAAAAGTGCCAGGGAATTCCTAGAAGCCTGGGTACTCAAACGAGTATGCAATTAACAAACACGTTAATATAGACCAAATGTACCAACTAATAAAAAGTAAATCATGTGACCAGAAAGTTTAAAATCCAAGTCAATAGAAAATGGTCAATACATATGTAAAGATGGTTACCGGGAGACGCAATTCTATCACTCATGAAGAAATTTAAATCATTTCACTTTATGCTAAATATTGCGCTGAAGGGGGATGTTGTCCAGAAGGACGGACGACGAAAGCTCCGCAACTAAACCAACCAGCTCAGAGAACACTATTAATTGCAGATGCAGGATATATTTAAGGCGAATTTCAAATGACAATAGCCATAAGAACAACTGAACGAAAACACTAGCTGGGATTATTATTTTTACAGAAGAAAACCACCGACATATCTGCAGACTACCATATGCATTTATACGTACAACTACCCTGGATAGCTGTTTGATCGTATTCTGAGACTCCTCAACGGTACGCACGCATGATCCCACTGGGGAATGAATTAAGGACGTTCAAGTTATGGGCGAGTTCACATTGATCATTCAGCCACTGGGGCGGAAACCAATGGCCCGTGAATTTTTAATTCCGCTTTTTCGCGCTTTCGTTTACGTAAGGTTCTAAAATACTAAGGAACTTTTACGAGTTGACCAGGGATTGATATCAGTTAGAGAACTATTGAAAATCAGGGAGTACTGGACAGCTGCTGTTTCATCCTAGTTTGGGAATCATCATCAGTACGCACCCACCAACAGGGTTCGAACCCAGGGCCTTCCAGTTACAGGGAAAGCTGGCTCGTATACCATTCAGCCACTGGGACCCGATTCATTGGCTCATGAATTTTAACTTCTACCAATTCGTGATTTAGCGCGACATCCATCCACACACGTGACATCTAAATGGACCTCACTGGTCACGACTTCTCACTAGAACTCCAGGAAACTCCATCCTTTAGCAAGTAACTAGCGAGCAACAGCTTAGTTTTCTATAGTTTGGTTTGTAAGGGTTAGTTATGCTTTTACGAGTTGATCACGGATTGATATCAGTTAGAGAACCACTGAAAATAAGCAGGGAGGAGTACTGAACAGCTGTTTCATTCCACTAGTTTGGGAATCATCGGTTCTCTGACTGATATCAATCCCTGGTCAACTCGTAAAAACATAACTAACCCTCACAAACCAAACTATAGAATATTAAGGAATTATTAAACATAAAAATAATCGATCAGAACTATATACAACTTGGTATTAACTTTTCTTTTACACGAAATAATACATAGCGGTCCATAAGAGGAAGTAATAATCACAAGGTGCTCAGACTTCCCTTGTTAAACAGGACATTAGAAATCACATGTGGACAAATACTACTAAAGTTAAGAAAATGGAATCTGTAGACGCTAACATGTGGATTTTTATTCAGTGATTAAAAGTTTAAAAATATTACCTTTAACTGTTGAACAGGAGAAGAATCTGTCATATTTACAGGTCCCAATGTGGGTTCGACAGTTCCAGATACTCCTAGCCCATCAAAAATAGTAGATGTGAAGTAGTACAATCCTTGAGTCCAACATCTCCAATTGCCTGCAGGAAATCCGTTAGAGAAGGCATTAACTATTCCCGTAGGAGGTGAAGTTAACGGTAAAGTGGAGTTAACCGCACAAAATGTGGACCAAGAAAATCCTCCGTGCAGCTGATAAGCGTTACCACCTTCAGTATAAACAATTTGACCATTTTCAGAGATAGACAATACACGTTTTGTTATTGTAAATTTACACACTTCATTTAATCCCCTTTCTATTCCGCCAAGACAACAATCTCCATCTTCTTGTACTTCTATAGGACACCAGGAAAACAATTCAACAGGCTTCGTTTGCTGTGTAATTACAGAGTTAAGAACGAGTTGTGGTGCCTTAAGTGTCTCTCTGGAGAAAGAAAACGATTAAATAATATGACTGATCGAACTCACCGACTTGAGTTGAGAGCATCCAAGTAACCACTCAATTTAGATACCAGTGGAGCCAGAATCTGTGTAGGATAGTCATTCTGCACAGAATTCAAGTTGGACGTGCATAACGAACAACCGGACACTGGCTTATATACAACAGGTGATGAAATACCTACGCCATTGAAAATATTTTGCTTGTCTAATAATTATTTTTTTAATTAAGGAAATTAATCATTACTTTGATCAATAAAGTCGACAAACTCCCGCATGGTTTTCAACATAGCTTCTAATGTTTCCATGATTGTTTTGCACCTGTTAAAAACTTATTCATACAAGAGTTCAGTTTGACAGGCTGTACTGAGATCAGTTTTCCATACAGCTGGAAAGTCTAAAAGCATCAAGAAAAAATTAAATACCTAAAAAGTACGACTGTAAAGATAAAAATAAGAAAACAATCTAGAAAAAAGGATTTCGAGATATTAGATGGTTGGCGGCAATCGGCCACAGGAAGCCTTGGACGCAGATTTCGTGCCAGCTGGCACTCACCAGTCAGTCAGCAAGGCGTATCTGCAACGAGCTTGAAGGAATTCATGTCCCTTCTGAGATTCGCCTTGCTGATGAGTGCCAACTAGCACAAAACCTGGATCCAAAAGGCTTCCTGTGGCCAATTGCCTCCAACCACCTAATATCACCAAATCAATGTGCACCGTGATGGCGAGCTACCTAGTGGCATGGTGGCCACATTACAAACCTGACTGATAGAATTCAGTCTGCACCAAAGAAAGGACTAGATACATCACACTAGTTACTAGTGTCCAATAAAGAATTTCGAGATATGTTAAACCATCTCTGAAGTTATCTTAGAAACATATGTATATTACAAGGATAACAGTGAAACTGTGTAAAGCTGAAATATGATCCTTTTACAAAGAGGTGGCTAGATATAAACTAACGAGGAATAGTGCAAAATGCAGCTAAATATTGCCAATGTAGCATAGGAAAGAAGTTCAACTTTATTGTTAGTGACTACACCATAACCTTTCTCTCAAACTTAATGAGAATGAAAAGTGAGACGGACAGCATAACGCAGACGTCTTCACAGAGGTCCACACGCTCAGGTTGTTCTACCTCAAAACAACATACACAAAGGAAAATGTCTAAGAAATATACTACAATGAAAAGACATTTATTTATTTAATTATTTAAACGCAAAAAAAACTTGGTACAATATGGCACCAAGAAAGATGCGCCACACAATAATAAAACAACACAGATTAAAAGTAAAAATATAAGTAGAGAACGGATAAAGAACTTCATCTGGAAGGAAAACAGTCATACTTAACAAGTTCAAACAGTATTCGTTAACTGTCATCGGGAAGGGAAGAAAGAAGGAAATTGCAACACTTTCGCCATTGACTACGATTCTTAGCCATATCCGATAACATTTCGAGCCATCGATTCGAGCTATCTCGCGGACCCCAATCAGGGAGTCATGACGCACCAACCAATGCTAATCTAGCACAAAAACCGTTCATCCCACGACGCCACGTCGTGGATTGACCAACCCTCCGCCTTTTCCATCCCGTCCCAGGGCTGGCTAGAGAACAGAGACCTGTACGGAAGCCTCTGGGATGACATTCTTAGCACATGTCCAAGCCACCAGAGTCGGTGTTTCCAGATGAAGACACTCAATGAATGGTGATCTCCACTGTGTTCAAACACACGCCGCCAAACCTCAGAATTACTCACACGATGATGCCATCGAACGCAAGCAACCCAGCGGAGACAGCGATGATCGAACACGCAGAGTTGCCGCACTTCCTCAGCCTACTCGCAGAGGCCAGGTTTCACAGGCGTAGAGCGGGGCAGCCCGCACCGAAGTATTGTATACCCGACCTTTGACAGTCAGGCTAACGTCGCGACGGCGCCATAGGTGGCTGAAGTTGATGTATGCCACCCTAGCCTTCATTATACGGTTTGAAATCTCATCCGTCCTCCCTCCGCCAGCACTCACACAACTACCCAGATACACAAACTTATCAACAACTTCAAGCGGTTTACCCGCAAGAGTGAGTGCAAGTACAGGCTCCTGCCAATCTTGTAACAGTACTTTGCACTTAGACGGCGTAAAGCACATACCAAGACAATTAGACGTGGATTGACTTTCAAAATATTTATCCTGGTAAAGACTAAGCACAGTTAATTGAAATAACTTTAGTAATATCACTCGCATTTTGAATACCTCTAGGACCCCAGTCAAACAATTTAAACGGACTAAAATCCCTAAGACTGTGGCTGTTTGAACTGATCATTCCCAACTGTCATCTATATAGTAATCCTAATTCACTTGAAATTATTTGTGGAAATAAAGGATAACTCATCATTAGTAAAGTTCTAACAACCTTAATCAATGCGGATTGACAACAACATGTACTTATTTATTTCTCTATCATACTCTACGTAAGGTATGAACAGTACTATTTTGTTCGATTTTACGCAGTGTGAAGACATAAACGGTCAAGAGTTTGTAGTTTTTCATTATCCCGTTTAGAAGATTTTTCACAGATTTTAAAATGCTTGTGTTGTTAGCCTTTAACCAAAGAAACTATTTTACCTTGATCTTCATTGCTTTCCTCGGCAGCAAATCTCCAAACAGGTAAGTGAAATAAAGTTATTTAAAGCATTGTATCCAAAACAAAAAAATGAAAGCAAAAGACACCATTGTTAACCGTCATTAAGGATAGTGGCCCTTGTCAAATTACTGACTGTTGGTTTGAACTACATACGGTTTGAGATACATAGTTGGAGTCCTTAAGATATTAAGGATCAATGGCTGAAGACTGTTAGGTATACCTGTCCGTCTGTTTTCGACATAGAACTTTGCACAAATGTGCACCAGTTCAAGTCAACACACTCCATGTAGCACACAAAGTAAGAGAAGAAAGTAGAAAAAATGCATAATAGAGACAGTAAACAGAGGTGTGAGACAAAGGAATAGTAATAACGAAGAACAAAACAGTTTCATTGGAGATCATAAGTCACATGGAGTGGATGTATCTGCGCCACTGAGAACGATTTTGAGCCATGTCACCAATTGTTTCAAACCATAGATTTTTACCGTCCCGAGGACCCCAAACAGTCAGGAAGTCTACACATTCCTACGTGGCTTAGACTCACTGTTGTAGATTTCATTGACTGGTGCTAAGCTTTTCTTTGACCGCCGCTAGCTTTTTTCCAGCCTGACTCTATGTCAGCTAACATTGCCCGTCGAGGAAGGCGATGACTAGGCATGCGTAACACATGTCCTAACCATCTCAGTCTTTGTAACTTCACAACCTCGTCGATTGATTTCCCCTATTTACCTAGAACTCGACGCCAAATCTCAATATTGCTCACCTTATTATGCCGCTTCACACGGGAGGTAGAATGCAGGCACCTATGATCAAAGACAGCTAGCTAGGCTTTTCATTTCTTCCACTCTCAGTGGACATGTCTCACAGCCCATATAGGAGGACGGAGCGGACTGATGAGCAGTACACCCGTCCTTTGGTCGATAGTCGAATATCTCGTCTACGCCAGAGACGGCGTAAACTGGCAAATACGAAGCGAGCCCCCTGTATCCGTGCCGAGATTTCACCAGAGATCAACCCGTTGGGGTTGATGGTACTTCCTAAATATGTGAAGCGGTAAGTATGCTCCACCACTTCACTCCCTATTTCTAAGCTAGGAGCCAGTGTGGTCCAGTCCTGTAACATCATCTTGCATGCCAAACATTCGTAGATTGCAGCTCAAGGTGTTTAGAAGACTCTGTATTTTGTCAGCGTCCTCGCCTAGAAGGACTATATCGTCTGCATATTCTAAATCAACGAGATTATTCCCTGGTAGCAAGTCAATCCCTGAGTCGCTGAAATCACTTAGGGTTAAGTCCATTAACACATCTATGATGAAGTTGAATAGAAAAGGGGATAATGGGCATCCTTGACGGACACCACTGGTCGTCATCAGTTCAGATGACAGCTCGCCGTAAGCCCTCACCTGGCTGTATGAGTACGAGTAGAGTGCCTTAATCAGTGCAATATATTTTCTCGGCATTCCCTTTGCAGCCAAGCATCTCCAGAGAACTTCTCGGTCGACAGAGTCGAATGCTGCCTTTAGGTCAAGAAATATAATGACTGTTGGACGCCGGTAAGAATGCCTATGTTCTAGAATCTGTCGGAGGGTGAAGATATGATCAATACACCCTCTTCCTGGTCTAAAGCCTGCCTGGCTCTCTCGTGTTTGTGCTTCCCGAGCACCACTCAGTCTACGCATGATTATTGAGCCTAAGACTTTAGATACTATATTAGTCAAGCTAATCTCTCTGTGATTATCACAGGAAGACTTGTCTCCCTTCTTGTATATCGGGATAATCAGTGACTTACACCAACCCGACGGGACTTCTTCTGATTCCCAGACGCTGCCTAGAACCTCAGTTAATGCAGACAGTAAGCTGTCTCCACCGTACTTAAATACCTCTGGCGTCATTCCATCAGGTCCCGCTGCTTTGCCTAGTTTCAGATTGGTGACAGCTTTAGTAACCTCAGTTAGTGACGGAGGACCTGTGTTTATATCCCATTCAGGGAGGTGTTGGATGCTCGGAAGGTTGAGCGTGGCTGTGGGCCAATTAAACTGCTCCTCATAGTGCTCTTTCCAGCATTCCGGTTGTCTATCCTGGGAGCTAATTATGGTGCCATTTTTCTCCGAGATTGTTTCACTAATGATTTGTCTTCTCCCACCCGTTTCCCCGATAAGTCTAAATAGTTGACTGGTGTTGCCTATCGTCGAAGCTTTTTCCATCTCTTTCGCCTTTGTCACTCATAGATTCTATTGCCCGTTGTCGACGAAAAGGATGACCAAGGATGCAAGCGTAACACATGTCCTGACCATCTTAATCAGTGTAACTTCCCAATCTCGTTGATTGATTTCTCCTCCTCACCTAGCACTCGACCGATGCCTCACCTCAATATTGCTCACCCTATTACACATTTCACACGGGAGATAGAATGCAGGCACTCATGATCAAAGACAGCTAGCTAAGCTTTTCATGTCATCCACTCTCAATGGCCATGTCTCGCTCACAGCCATAAAGTAACTGCTGAGCAGTACACACGTCCTTTGGTCGATAGCCAGCCGGATATCACGTCTATGCCAGAGACGGAGTAAACTGGCATATGCGGAACGAGCCTTCTGTATCCGTGCTGAGATTTCGTCAGTAATCAACCCGTTGGCACTGGCTGATGCAAATTCCCAAATAAGTGAA